AGAACTCCACTTCTTGCTCTTATGGTAAATCTGAGATCTTGTTTGCAAACACCTATGGAAACTCATTCACCACTTGGATTTCACTAATACTTCTATCATGATTACCTTGTACTGAAAAGAAGACTACATAAGTATAGCAACCTTCAAAAAATAACCTTTATGCTTACACTACTAAAAGAAATCTAGATTAACTATCAATCACTAAAAGAGTCACATGAACTGGTAACAACACCACTTTCTTGGCACAATCCAAGGTAGCATTATTAGTCACCAACCAGTCCATCCCAATAATCACATCCAACCCTTATATAGGGATTAGGATCAAATTCACCAGAGAAGTATGGCCCTTAAAACTCAACTATACTCTTATACAAACCTTACTAGTCTTGTTTAGCAACTCAAATGATGTAGACACTTTCACTATATAAGGAAGCTCATGCAAAGGCAAACACAATTTCTGAACACATTTATGGGACAAATGAGTGAGTGGTGTAACCTCCCTAAGGTTAAACCACCTTTAACTCCAAATCATGGTAATCCAAGGTTCTACCCTTAATGATTACCAAACTATAAGGTTTTAAAAAGAGAATTTTCCCAAAATTATTTCAAAGGAATCCCAATCTCGACAATTTAAATCTCAAACATGATTAATAGGCCCAAATTAGAGTTTTGAAAAAAAAGCGAAAGCTTGGAAGTCAATTGGGACCTATAATAATGAGTTTTAAAACTCAAAATTGATTTTGATACAGAAAATGACATGTGCGCCACGACTTATAGCTCGTGCACTATGGCATGTCTCCTTTGTGCCATGTGCCACAGTGTATTGCACAAAATTTGATAGATCAGTGCTATCATTTGGCAACATAGAGAGCAAACTTCTGACGTATCTTAAATCTTCATCCGACATCCTATTAAGGTGATTTCGGTATCTACACGGAGCTTTCTCCTAGTTCTAGCTAATGACATTAGTTTCATGTTTAAACTCATTTTCTATAAAAAGTTAGACACCAAAATCCATTTTGACCATATTTTCACAAAATCTCCCAAATGGGGTGTCTCAATTCAACCACACGTGCCAATAGCCTACACCAACCCTCCAACCACACTCAATGAATTCTTGTAGACTCTTACGAACTTATGCAATGTACCACACACAATCAAATACACTTATATCATAAAATCATCATTCAACCCCGATTTTCATAAAATATAAAAGGGGAGGAAAAGTTGCATAAATCATGTCAATAAATCCTAGTTGGAAATTATATTAACCAATACACATGAAAGTTACAAATGAGAGGCGCATAGAGGATTACTCCATAAATCCTAAGCCTCTGTATGTTTTTCCCGACTCGAATTCAATGAGCTAGGTCCTGAAAATATTAAGAATTGAAGGGTAAGTACAACTACTTAGTAACCAAGTTATACTTAACCCTTACAGTTGTATATTAATTGTAAATAGATTCAATTAGGCAAACAAACACATATATCACATAATACTAGGCCACGGTTCACAAAACTAACAATCATGTGACCAGGCTTGCCACAAACCACTATATCATGTTATTTTGTGAAAACATAACTCAAGGTCACAAAATAACAACCATACACCCTTAACACATGCCAGACCATAAAACTAACAACCATGTGGCCGGACTTATATGTATTATGATCATATGCCAACCTTATATCCTCTTGTTACCTTCGATATAAAACCAGTGGCTATATCCTTTATGGACTAACCCAACCTTCCACTTGCGAGGAGCTAACGAGCTAAGGTGAACTCACTCATTTATATAATCTAGTTTCCCCCAATACTAACAACCATGGGATGTCGTACTCCTAATCTAGCCTTTTCATGAATCAGTGGAGACTAGTTAGATTTGAGTCTCTTGTAGAACAAGTGGGACAGTCTCAAAACATCTATGGGACAAGGGCTACCTCCTGATTCCAACGGTCGGTGCCACAGTTAGTTCCTGATTCCAATGGTCACTGCCAATACCACGTGGATTTCAACCAATCTACTCCTCTCCCTAGGCAAACTCCCACCAATGATCATGCTATGCACATTGCATACATAATATGCATTTTAACAATCATTTCTCAACACATAAACTCACATAACATAAATGCTCCACAATTTAACACATAATTCATCACAGTTATCCACCCATAGTAATAAATTACAATCAATTTTGCAAAACATCAAGGGTAGTAGAATCAATGTTTTCTTTCCCAAAACCATTTCATAATCAAGTACTTGCCAATATGCATAATCAATTTAACTCATAAATCACATTTTACAAACACAATTAACATTCAACTATAAAGATTAAGTTTTCCCTAGCTACCTCAAACCTTTAAGAGGTCAAATGTTTACTCCTCACTATACCAACTTCCCAAAGCTTCAACAAGCTTGAGTAGTGCCAAAACAAATCTCTCTACATCTATATGACAAGAATATCATTGTTATCTAACTTTTGAAGCTTTATTAACATAAAACTCCACATACACTATTTTTAACCAACTCATAATCACTACCCATTCTTACCCAATAGGCTTATTGAATTCCATTAATGCATCTTATCATTAGTAACACCTCAAACCATCATTAATGTATATTAAACACTCCCAACTACCATATTTATGATAATTTTAGACAATAAATACTCCCATAGACCAACCACTTTCAAAATCACTAATGTGGTGTTTCAATACATTAAACCACTCCTATCAATCTCATTTTAAGTAATGGAATTAGACCTATACTCCTATGGACTGAAAACCCATCTCCTAACTCAAACCCTATCATAAATCATTACAAATAAGGGAGAGAAAGGAAGAAGAAGACACCATAATCTTACCTTAGGTGTTTGAGAACTTCAATCTATCAATAATGGAACTAAATATTGTGCCCTAGTAGAGCTAAAACTGAGCTTTTCATTTTCTTCCTCTTTTTCTCTTATGTTTTCATACAGCTCATGAATTGATTTATTAGATTTTTGGCTGTGCACTATAGTACACACTGCCCACCGTCGCGGTGCATGGCATAGAGAAGCCTGTTATGTTTGAATTATCTCTGTGCACTATGATGGACTAACTACGCACTGCGACATATGGCACAGAAAATAACTCCTCACTTTTTCTTCCTCTTTCCTTGCCTAGGTGGCCCATCATTGATCTATACCCACTTTTAGGGTTGAAATTATATCAATTATGTCAAGTTAAACCTTTATGGCCGTATACCTTATTAACTCGCTAATTACCCTCATTAGGTTAATGAATCAGGGTTAAAATTTTTTGGATGTTACAAGTGTACTAGAGTTAAATAACGCCTCAATTTTTTCCCCCAAATAGAAATTTTACGTATAATCAAGTTTAACACTAATTGAGCCTCCTCTTAGGACTCCATATATGCTTAGCTTAGTATAGCCCATAAACCCTACCTTTATTCTTTAGGAAATCCCTAGCAAAATAGCCTAAATCGCTATAACATCCTAAGTTTTCAACTTAAAAATTTAAGTATTTAATAAGGGTAATTTGTCAAAGTGAGTGCTTTATGAATTAATGATAATTTAGGGACACTAATAAGGTTTTTTTAGACCTTTGGATAGCTTTGAGAGTGATCTAAAATGGCATACGAGTCAATTGGGCTCGAGTGAGTAGCCAAAATAGCATGTAGTCCTTACTGTGCCATGTGCCATGATGCATGCACCTTGCATCACACTGTATGGTCTATTTCTAAAATAAATGAGATGCAAGTTGCGTCTAATTTCAAAGAGAATAAAAGAAGAAATGCGAGAGGTGATATAGAAGGCTCTTGGCTTTGTTAGGGCTTCATTATCTAGGCTATTTGAAGATAATACAAGCTTGGTCATCATTTAATTAGCTCCATTTCCCCTCTCCTCCCCCATATTTGAATTTTTAAAGTGAAAAGTTAGGTTTAGAGGTTGTTTTTGTCTCTCTTTAGGTCTTAACCAAACCCATTGACTTAGCTAGAGTCTTGGGGAGTTAAATTGAGCTTTTAAACCTAGGTTTATAGATTTTATAGTGATTTAAAATTTTTAATTGAGATTTAGATGAACCCTAAGTGAAATTTAGGACTTTTAGAGTAATATGGGTAAAGGATTAGTGTTGTTAGTATGTTTGGGTATTAAATGAAATTAATGGAATGTATTGGAAGTGTTAGTATTAAATTGAGATTTTAGGTATTGTGGGTACCCAAAATTATGCTAAAAAGGCGGTTAATTAGAGTAAGAATTGATGATTAAATATTTAATCTTGTAGATTAAATATTTAATCATTCCTTATTGTGCAAGTGGACATAGGTAAAGTTGGCAATTGACCACAGTAACTCTTTTTATGATGAAAGGGGTTGAGGTATCTGAATTATCTAAACTTATTATTTACGTATTTGGATGATTATGTGTTATTGTGAAAGTTTATTCAATTATTATTTTGAACTAGTATACTCTTAGTGAATGTGATCATTAACTTATAAACTTTATGTGAAGTGGAATGCATAACTATGATCATTTGTGGTTTTGAAAGTTTTATGCTAAATCCTCTGTATACATATATGTACTTGTGAAATTGTATGATTTATGTTGTAAATGATTATTCAAGTGTAATTTTACATGTTTATGGCTATATGTGAATTGTTGAGAATATGTTTGGCATGATCATTTTGAGAGGGTAGAAGTTCACCATAGAACATTGTTTAGAAATTTATATGGTATGCTGGTACTGTGAAGGCCTTGGTGCACAATTCTATATTTATTTGGAAGTCCTTGTAAAATAGATGGAATAGGCATATGATGTAACATCTCAAATTTCTAATTCCTACATTAATACTGATTTAAGATTCTAAATGGTGGGATGTTGCTTTAATTCTTTGGCATATTATATGAATCGATATGAGTGGAACAACGACATCCCAAAGCAGAGCGTATGAGTGTGGTGCATGGCATAGAATTTTAATAAGTTTGAGCATGTATCAGCTCATGAAACAGAAGGAAAGAAAAGGAAAAAGAAGCTTAGGCATGGAGAAGAAGAGGAGGTCTGCTAAGGTAATGAAATTAGGAGCAAGGATGACGTTTCCAACTTGTTACTTATCAAGTAAGTCTCGTATTGCCTTAATATCCAATTCTATCCTATTTTCTCTTAGTTTAAATTATTAAGAATCAAATTTGGAATTTTAATGAGTTAGAATGATAAAGCTTCTCTGGAACTATTGAGAAATTGAATTTCTTATCTTATAGTAATAGAAAGGTTCTTTGGAACTAAACTAAGCCTTTACGACTAGTTAGAGTTAGGACAATAAAACTTTAAAGCTATAGGCTCAAGTAACCTAGTTTAGAGAGAGAAGAATGGGAGAAATTTGAGAGTAAGCATGTTAATGCTTGAAATGAGAAGTGATTACTTGCAATAGGTGGAAATGGACTTAGAATTGATGGATAGGATTGTTTAGTTGCCTAAATCATTGTAATTGGCACTTTTAGTTAATAAGACAATTGACTTTGGTTGCCAGTTGTGTAGATTCTCATATGTAACATGTTAATAGTGTAAAAAAACTTGAGTAAGGATGTGGAAATGGGTAACCCTTTCTATCAGATAGAAGGGTTGATGTAATCATATACTTTGGTTATATATGTGTGTATAGTTTTGGTGTCTTAGCCCATTGAGTGTATATGTGTATAGGTGATGAAAATGGAAATGTGGGCTAAATAATAGATGTTTGAGAATATGGCCATGAAGTATGTTTGATGATAAGGTAAACCTTAGCTTGGAATGATAATGAAAATGAGAAAAAAATGGATTGTGCCCAAAAGTGAGTAATAAGTGATTTACAAGCCAAATGTGGATATGTGTTATATTGTATATATAAATGTTCATCAAGTATTGCTTGTCCATTTGGATGTGGTTAAGGCTTAAAAGTGGCCAATGACTTGTGGTTTCAAATAGTGATGCTTAAGTGGCAAATTTTGACATAAAACAGTCAAAATACACTTAGGTATCTAATTTTTGAACAAAATATTAAATTCAAACAAAACTAGTGTTATTAGTTAGATTATGAAACAAGCTTCATGTGGGAGTCTAAATCACCTAAATTGGATATTGGATGTAAAAATAGTACACATTTAAAGTTTACATTAGATTTTACAATTTGATAGTAAAATCTGGGGTGTGCATCACGACGCATGTGTCAATATATGACCACATGCCACGACGCATGGCACAAAGTGTGATGCTAAGGCCTCTGTGTCATATATCGCAGTGTATGGCTCCTGTTTTAGCTTAATTTGGTTGATTTGAATATGTTTTCTTGTTAACCTTAATGTACTTATATATAATGCTTCTACTGTATAGTTTTTTCACAACTTGAGTATTTTATGAAATGGTTTTAGAAATGTTTTATATCGGGATCCTAAGCTTTCAAAGTAAATGATTTTGCATTTATTAGTGGATGCATGGAAGGTTGTATGGTAATGTTGTTAAGGGTATTACATACGACACCTTGGTTCATAGTGGCTGATGTAACATCTTGATTTCATAATTTTGAAATTAATTTCTAATTAAGAGTAAATTAATAAATTAATGATTAACTAGGATATAGGATGACAATTTGTTGTTTTGACTTGTTGGAATATTGAATGAGAAGATAAGAATGGAAGGATTGTATTTTAAAATTAAGCGGGTGCGCCTAGTGTTGATTTTCCTTATTGTGCCATGCATTGCAATGCACAACGTAGAAAGTTCGTTTAAATGATGTTGTCAACTTGTGATTTCAAGGAGGAGAAGGGAGGAAACAGATAAGAAAAGGAGAGAAGAGAGCTTTGTTCATCTAGAATAACAAATCTTAGGAGCTCGGGAGGCATTTCTGACCAGTAGCTTATTAATAGGATTTAGTCACTTACCCTCAACATTAAACTAAAGCTAACCCTAATACAATAAATGCCCAACCCTAGGTCATCTCTCAAGGAATGGTTTCAAGTCTAACAAAAGGTATCTAGTGAAATAAATCACCCAACGTTTAAAGTTGATTAATTAATTGCTAACCTAATTATCTAATAAATTAGACTAACAAACTAAACCTAATTATGAAAGAAGTGGCTTCCCAATTTAAGTAGGAACCCTAGGGTATTACTAATGGAAGAATCCTAATTCTTAATCAAACATGGCAGCTCACTTAACTCCTCTTCCTTGGCTGAAATATAAGTTTACCTAAGATATCTCAAGTACCTTAGCTTTAATAATTCAATTCCCTAAGTGTTATTACAAGCCCTTTAGTTAACCTTACTAGCTTAGCTCTAAAATTAACCAAGTGTTTAGTTAAAATTCATTCCCAATTACCACTACCCAAATCTGTACCTAAGTTCAAAACTATGAAAACTCGAGCAACTCATCAAGTATTCACCACACAATTACATGTTAGGCTAATACAAGACATTCACCCATTGAAATCACACATTACCATGCAAATTCATAGAGTGGATGAAATTACAACAGAAACAAGAGCATGAAATTCAAATAAACAATCTTGTTTCAAAATTACAAATTACAAACAACCATGAAACTACAGTCAAATTAAACCACAATCAACAATAATCATGGTATTCTAATGGAATTGAAACAAGATGAAGAAATAGTTGAGCTTAGCCAAATGAAGACTTCAAAACTCCTCTTCTATCAAATCTCCCTTAGGATTCTATAAAGATTCTAGCTAGAAAACATAAAGAAAATCTTGCCTCCATTAAGAACACTAAGTGGCTGAGTATGTTGCTCCATAGTCTTGATGAATTGAGCTCAAATCTTCTTCCAAGTGTTTGGGGTAAGGTCGGCCTTGAGAGAGGAGAAGAATGGTATAAGAATTGAGTGGATTTGATGGTAAAAAGTGGAAAAAAAGGTGGCTGGACATGTTGGAGTGTAGAGAGAAAAATTGGAGAAAATGAAGAACACCAAATGAAGAGAGAGAAATTGTGGAAGATGAATGAGATGATCATTGATCCAATTTTAAGGGGCAAATGGCGTGCTCAATTGTGTTTCCCCATCAGCTGAAGCCCAATTAAAAAATAAGAAAAGAAAATAAAAGAAAACTGGGAGCCTTGTCATACTTGCAAGGTGGCATCCTCCTATTAGCTTGTAGATGATTCAAATGTGTATATAATTTTTCATGTGTCATTCACATCATTTAAGCTGATTTAATCTCTCAAAAATATCATAAATCATGTGCAAATGCTCAGCCATTGACCTCAAGGAGTGTTAACCTCAATTGCCCAATTGATGCACAAGTCATATGCCTCCTATGTCATGTAAATCAAATAATTCCATTAAATAGCATGTGATATAATAAAATATAATTAGTGTCTATAATTAAATTCATAATTAGAAGGGATAATTTATTAAATTAACTAAGTTTTAGACTATACAAAATTATATAAAAACTTTCACATAAAGGCAAACTGAAAACTAAGTCAAATTAACATACTGTAGAAAGTGTTGACTTTTTATTTAATTACTTTCAAACTAAAATAAATTTTAAAAATATAATTTCACCACTCATCAACTAAACATAAAATACACCTTTTCAATTTTTCTTGTGCATTTCCTCAAAAGTTTATTTTTTGAATCAAAATACTTTTAGTGCACTAAATATAGAAACTTAGGTAAAATTTTAAATTTAATGTAATGTGTGCACTTTGAAATGATAAAACATTAATAAAAGGGTCCTAATTGACACATAAAAGTGTGTAACAAATGTGTTATATCACTTACCTGGTAAGCTTTGTACCGCTCTTAGCTTTAGTTCTACCTTAATTTCTCTTAGTATAAGTTATAGAAAAATTGAATCGAAAAGTTTTAAGGAGTTTGTTTCATATCCTTTAATAATAGAAAGGTTCTCAAGGATTAAATTAAGGTTTTATGACTAGTTTAAAGTTAAATGATAAAGCTTTGAAATTATAAGCTTAAATTAGCTCTAAACTAAAAGGGAAATAGGAATGAAGTTGTCAAAGAGGTGCATTGGGATTGATCAAAGTGGTAGAAAAAGGTGATTGGAATGTAATGAGCCTAAATTGACCAAGTGAAAGGGAAATAATAGTTAAATGTAGTTGTAAATGATAATTAATGCCAGTGGTCAATTTGATTAATTGATGAAATAATGCTAATTAAATGTAGATTGTCGTGTTGTGTGTGTAACTTAAGAGATAAGGCGTGTGGGAACATTAACTATTGTGAAATAATCCATGGGTAACCCTTTCTTGTGACAAAAAGGTTGAGATAACTAAATAAATTACTCTATTTGATTGTCTATTGTAACTGTTTGTGAGTATTATAGCTATTACATGAAATTATTTTAAATTGTGCATGTTTTGAAAAAATTCATCATTGTTGCATAAAAAAGAATTTCAAATAAATAAGTTTATGGGAATTTATGATTATAGAACTATATATATGAATTTGAATACAAACCACTTGTTTGTATGTGAGCATGATCAAAGAGGGTGGAAGTTCACCCATAAGGAGAAGTAGTGAGACATCAATAAGGCATCATTCTCCTGAGTGCCCACCAATTGATGAAGCCCTAAGTGGCTTTAAGTCATCAATAAAAAAAATAAAATGTAGTTAGAAGTATTCTATGTTATCTCCTAAGAGAGCAAATGCATACAAATATTAAACCAATCGCCAACAAGTTAAAGAGTGATTCAAATGTCTAAAAGTGCAAGGAAATAGATGTTTGTAATTTCAGATTAATGTGTAATGGAATGAATATGTGAGATGATTAGCTCAAATTAGAATCCCTTGTGATAATCCTCGAATTTCAAGTTTGCAACCACACTCATAATCACAATTAGCTTAATGAAGAACAATTCAAGTGAATCATTCAATCCAATGATCACTAAAGAGTTTAAGCCAAGTGAATCAAGATTAATAATGTGATTCAGCCTTGTTCATTCACACAAAATTCTAACTAAATTAAGTAGTGGAATAACTTCTCAAACCAAATTCATATAAACATATATGGATCTAGCTTGAGCCTCAAGAGAAATCTGAGCAAGAACACTAAGAACATATAATCATATTCAAGAACATTCAAATGAATTCATAAATTTCAGAAC